GGGACAGTAAAACAAGAAAGGGCTCAGCATAGAAGAAGCAACAGGAGAGCCTAGGCAGAGAAAAGAGGGCCTTGGGGACAGGTTCAGGGGATTAGCCTGCAAATAGCTGCCGCTGCCCATTGCTCCCATGGTTGCAAGTCTTGCGGGGACTCTTAGAGTTTCGGAGATGCCTACCTGTGGAGGAAGAACAGGGGGGAGAGAATGGCCTTTGTCTTGAGGCCTTTATCTCTCTTGTAGGTGGGGATCTTAGGGGAGGTCTCAAGGGAGGGTTTCAGCAGAATTCCCATCAGTTTTCTAGGAGTGCTCCTAGTAAGCGGTTGAGCCAGAATTTGAACTTCAGAAGTCTGGTTCCAGAGTCTGTGCACCACAACTCTGCCACATTACCACATCACCTCTCCTCGGGGCGTCAGATGTGCCTGGTGAAGAGACAACTAGAAAGCGCTCAGAAATAAAGCAGAAGAATTGCAGCACATTCCTAAGGCATGGCAGCCTTTGTGGGGAAGAAGAGACTAAAGTAGATGTATGTATATAAACTCATAGAAACAGGTTTGAATACTCACAGAGGATACTCACCTCTGTGGAGGGGACGGACATTGGGAGAAACAATCAAGGAAACTTCATATATTTTTCATACTTGAGTTAAAATATTTTCAATGTTTGAATCTTTACTATAAGACCGTATCTGTGTGCTACTTCTAAAATAAAAAAAAAAAAAACAAGTAATTTTTTTTTCCCTTTATTGGTTTTAGAGAGAGAGGAAGTGAGAGGGGGAGAGAGAGAAACATCAATGAGAGAGAACATCGACTGGCTGCCTCCTGCATGCCCCACACCAGGGACCGGGCCCACAACCTGGGCATGACTGGGAATTGAACCAGCGACCTCTTAGTGCATGAGTCAAAGCTCAACCACTGAGCCACACTGGCCGGACAAAACAAGTAATGTTTTTTTGAAAATCTGCATTAAAAACAATTTGCCCAGGAAGCAGTGAGGAATGCGTGGCTGACTCTACCATCTGGGAGTCAAGGGAAGTCACAGAAGAGATGGCATCAGGACTGGATTTTAAAGGAGGCATTGCCTATAATTTTAAAAAAGTAAATAAATAAAAAATAAAGGAGGCATTGCCTGAGGAAAGGGGACATGCTGACGACACGTGGGAGCTTGAGAATAAAATGATGTACTTGAATCCGGGTGTATGTGGTTAGGTGGGGAGGGGAAAGGAGAAACGGATATAAGACCAGGTTGCAAGGATGCGTGTAGGGTTAACTGTAAAGGGCACAACTACCACACACAGCAGGTTGAACTTTGTGTAGGTAAGTATTTAAGCCATCTGAAGGGACATGATCACAAAAGCAGTGTCCTCTGGCAGCCAGGTGGACATGCACTGGAGAGGAGGGAGGGACTTTTAGAGACTGGTGAAGGAAATTGCTGAATTGCCCAGTCAAGAATTGCCCCCTACGTGGCAAAATAGTGTCTATGTAGGGAGAGAGAAAGGGCTTGATGTGAGAGATAGTTAGGAGCAGGAACCGACAGTACTTTTCTCTAGTCTCTACCCCACCTTTTTGGGGTAACTGTACCCTGCTTTGGGATATCACCTTACTATACCTTTAGCCCTCGTGCTTTAGGCTCTGGGCTGCAGGGGTAGGACACATAATCTAAGTCACTACCCCATTCTGTCCTCTCAGGCATCCTTCCTGAAGGAGCACTTGACCCTAATCAATCAGGCCTCCAAGACTCCTTCTGGCACTTTTGTAGGCAAACCCCCTCCTGCTTGATCAAGCAGTGTGATGCTGGGAGCCTGGAGCTGCCCAGGCCACATAACCTGGGGTGGAGTTGACCCCATAGCTGGATCTTCAGCATCTGTGGAGCCCAGAATCAAAGCATACCTTAGCCAGCTGTGCTCATGGACTTGCTATGAGCCAGTGATCTTTTTATTTTTTATTTTTATCTAAGTTCATTTGGGTTGGATTTTCTATTTAAAGTGTCCCTAATGATTAGCACTGGGAACAGGGGAGATCTCTGAAGTCTTACTGTTCTTAGTCTCGTGGCAAAAAAGTGAGGATAAAAGATGCCTTTAGCACCCTGGCCAGTTTGGCTCAGTGGTTAGAGTGTTGGTCCACAGACCAGAGAGTCCCGAGTTCGGTTCCTGCTAGGGGCATATGCCTCGGTCGTGGTTTGTCCCCAGCCCCGGTTGGGGTCCTGTGGGTGGCAGCCAGTCAATGTGTCTCTCTCACATAGATGTTTCTCTCTCTCTCTTCTTCTCTCTCTCTCCCTCCCACTCTATCTGAGGATGAATGCAAAAATGTCCTCGGGTGAGGATTAAAAAAAAAAGATGTCTTTAGCCACTGTCTGCCCCACTTAGGACAAGGTGGCTAAATTAGCAGAATCTAAGGCCTTAAGACCCTGGAAGAGGTGACCCAGACCAGTGACCCCCAGACTTTGGGATTTCACAGATTTGGGAATTTCATAGATTTTATCAGCAAAATTACAAAGAAAAATCTTACAAGCTAGATAAGAATTCTCAAGTTTTTAATTTTGTTAATTAAAAATCTTTAAAACAAACAAAAGCCACTACTTTCTACCATCACCTTAATATCCTAAAAGATATAACACTTTGACACACACTCAGAGAAATAATAACTTTAGAATGGAGGATAGCCCTTTAAAATGAACACCTTTCTACCAGCAACAGCAATCTAAGTGACCTAGTGCAGAACGCTGTGTCCCTCAGTAGTGTCCTCAGCCCTCAGATCTCATTCACATTCTTGGGACAGGGAAAGTCTGGACACGGAAGATCCTGAGCCAAGTAGGAGGACTGAAGCTCCCAGGGAAAGGCCCCACTCTGGTAGGGAGACCCCAAGGGAAGACACAGGAAGGCTTGAGGCAAACCTCCCATTCCCAGCACTGGCCTGGCCCAGCCAGCGGTCTCTCCAGTGCCTGAGCAGCAACTCTAGGAGCCCTGAGCACAGGCAGGCTGCAGCGATGGGTCTACATGAAGGTGCTGGGTTAGACTCGGAACTAGGACAGGCAGATCCTCTCCAGAGCAGCAGCAGCAGCTTCCTTTGGGATTCAGTGTCAACAGAAACTGAGGCTACGGCAGAAGTGTAGCCGAGGGCTGCTCTGGTGGGCTTTTGTGCTTCGAGGAACAGTATCTCACTCAGCTCAGCTCAGGTAGGGAGAAGGTGTTAGCCAAAGGGTGCCTGATGAATCCCTTCCCCTCCACAGCCCCTTCCTGGGCAGTTGCTTCCTGGCTCACCCCATTCAGCTGGGTTACTAGGAGGCAGTCTTTGATGAGTCACTCTGTTAGCAGAAATACACACTGCAGTTGTGCAATCAGTATTAGAAAGTGCACTAGAATTTCAGTCTGAGGGACTGGAGCATCCCCAGCCCTCCTCCCTTCACACATACCCCCTTAAAGGGAAACTGGATGGAACCAGCTGGCTGAGAGCCAGAGCCTAGGGTAGGGCAGGAGGATAACAAGACCCAAGGGAGAAGGGGGAGAGTGAAGAACACAGGAGGGAAAGGGTGGGGGGGTCCCAATGGCAAATTAAGGCAGGCAGAATGGACCCAAAGGGAAAAGAAAGGGGCTCTTTGCACCCTACTCTGGACTTGGCATGTACACAAAGTGCGTTCACAGATTCACACAAGAGCACACGTTTTTCCAGCAGTAGGCTCAACCTTTCCACACTTCCAACATTAAGGACTGAGTTAAGGGGTAACATTAAGATACACAGGGTGGCCCTGGCCAGTTTGGCTCAGCGGTTGGAGCATCGACCTGCGGTACGGAGAGACCCGGGTTCGGTTCCCGCTAAGGGCACGTACCTCGGTTGCAGTTTGTCCCAGGCCCTGGTTGGTCGTGCGGGTGGCAGCCATTCGATGTGTCCCTTCACATCGATGTTTCTCTCTCTCTCTCTTCCTCTCTCTATCTGAACAAAAAATGGGAAAATGTCCTCGGGTGAGGATAAAAAAAAAAAAAAGATACACAGGGTGGCCAGGGTCAATGTAGCTCAGTTGGTTGGAGTGTTGTCCTGTGCACCAAAAAAGTTTCAGGTTCAATTCCCAGTCAGGGTGCATACCCAGGTTGCAGGTTCAGTCCTCTGGTCGGGGTACATGTGGAGGCAACCAATTGCTGTTTCTCTCTCAGATCGATGTTTCTCTCTCCCATCCTTCTCTCTAAAAAAATAGGTAAGTATATCCTGGGATGAGATAAGATGCACATTGTGCATCAAAAAAGCCAAAGACTTCAAGAACCAGGCTTCATGAAAGGCTACATCAAGACCCAGTGGTAGGTTTGAGGAAGTTCCGGGGCCCTCAGCAAATTCAAATCCTCAAGTCTTCATTCTTCTGTCTCCTCTCTGCCCTTGTCAACTTCCGGACACTGCCAACTCACATACCTTTTCCTTATGTCCCACCCAAGTTCCTGAGAAATCCAAGATCTGGATGGGTCTTAGTGGGGTCCCCAGCCAGGATCTCTTCTAGTCTACGAATCACCTGACCTTTAGCTAGGTCTCCATGAGCTAGGGCAGGGAATGGCAGGGGAGGGGCTTCTGGCCACCTTAGATGTAGGTGCTCCAGTTGACTTTAGGTGTATCAGGGCAGACAACCCGATTGACATATGAGGGCCAGTTCTGTCTCCAGAGTGGGTGTCAGGAGCTTGGAGCACCTTTGTGTCATCCCCAAGTGTAGCTTCCCACCAGATAGGCATCCAAATCCAACGCTTGAACCCCAGATCTCCAAGGTCAAGTGAGGCTGAGCAACCTGAAATCCCACAATCCCGTGCTGCCAGGAACCAGATCTCCCCACCACCCTGATCATATCAGAAGCCCTAGAATGCAATGCCAAGTCCATGCATCATATGCACTGGGTTGTTTATTGTCACAGGACTGGGATGGGGAGGGGAGTCCTCAGGCTGGAAGGAGGGGGGACATGGGAAAAACTATTTTCTAAATCTTCCCTTTTTCCCAGCAGGTGATGGTGGGGGCTGGACCGCTAGCAGGACTCCCTTAGACGCAAGCACAGTGCTGTGTGAGAAGATTGGGCACGGTCTCATACTTGAAAGAGTAACCCCCATCTGAGGTGGTGCGGACACGTAGGGACTTCATGGTCCCTGGGAGAGCAGCACAGCAAGGCTGGGCCCCTGGCACTAGGGAAAGGGGCTGAACAGGGGTAGGGGGAGATCCAGGGACCGGCAGCGACAGGTCTGGTTGGGTGGGCAGCCCACAGCCACCATGACAGTAGTGGAAGATGAAACTGGGAGGGTGTACAATCCACCGGTCCCAGCCCAGCTCCTGGAAGGAGATGTTGAGGGCTGCTCTGTGGCAGTGGGCGTGGGCAGCGGGTTCCTCTGGAGGCCTCTGCAGCAGGCGCAGTGCAGCCGGAGACCAAGGCCAGGGCAGCGGGGGAGTCGAACGTCGAGCTCTTTCCCCTCCGCTGGGTGGCTTGGCCCGAGTTCGGGCCACCAAGAAGGGTGTGGTGTCAGGTCGAGCTGAGCAGGAACAGAGAGGACAGCGTAGCAACAGTACCAGGACTGGATGGGTCAGCAGAGGGAGAGCAGAGGAGGCCAGGTGCAGCACAGCCCAGCGAGGGGGTGCCTGGCCCAATGACATAGGCACAGCCATGGGACCCCCAGATGACAGGGCGAGCAGGCCTAGCAGGGGCCCAGAGCTATTGGAGGCTGCTGTGCCCTGCCTCTCCAGTCCTGTGTGGAACCACAGCTGGGCTGAAGTCACCTGGCGGCTGCGTGTGTGCTGGGATGGCTGGAACATGTATGTGAAGAGGCCCTCCTCAGCCTCCTGGGCCAGCTCTCCCGCAGCTGGCTGATCCTCACAGCCGGCACCTGCAGGAAACAGCGGGGAGAGAGAGGGCAGCCCTGACCGGCAGAACCCGGGACCCCTCCTCCTAGACAAGAGGGAAGTGGCTGCCATTCAGTGGCCTGCCAAGCATTCCACTGAGGGCTCTGTCAGACTCAGGGACTCTTCCCAGTCTTCAGAGGACTGACAGAGGCTCCCCATTTGTCATCTCATCACTAAAGGATTTAAAAAATACGAGACACTGCCAACTTCTCTCTGCAGCGGATTTACCAATTAAGAGTCCCATCAGCAATCTGCAAGAGGCCCTGCCACTACCTATACCAACACTTGGAATTGTTAAACTTAAATTTCTGTTCATCGGATAGTGTGACAGGGCAACTTGGATGGTGTGCACACAGGCATTTGTTATATTATTCTTTATATCTTTTTACATGTCAGAAATACTGCATGATAAAATTATTTGAAATAAATCCACTTTATAAAGATAGTTTAACACCAAAAAGGAGGAGGAGGAAGAGCAGGAAGAAGAGGAGAAAAGATAAAACTGAGAATAAAGGACAATGCTTTCTAAGAAAGTGCAGTTGGTATCCTTACCCTGACAGGTACACGGACTATACTAAAAAAGCATGAACCAGCACCAGCTGAGGGAGGGCTGAACTGTTAAATGGATTATCTCACTATAAACTTCACAAATGACCCATTTTTCAAATAAAAAAACTGAGGATTAGAAAGGTAAAGTGGCATTTAACTACTAAGTGGCCAAGCTGGGCCCTGGCCAGTTTGGCTCAGCGGTTAGAGCGTCGGCCTGCGGTCCGGAGAGACCCGGGTTCGGTTCCCGCTAAGGGCACGTACTTCGGTTGCAGTTTGTCCCCGGCCCTGGTTGGTCGTGCGGGTGGCAGCCACTCGATGTGTCCCTTCACGTCGATGTTTCTCTCTCTCTCTCTTCCTCTCTCTCCTTCCCACTCTATCTGTACAAAAAATGGAAAAATATTCTCGGGTGAGGATAAGTGGCCAAGCTGGGGTCCCAAAGCCACACTTGTAGTCACTGTGCTGCCTGGGGACTGAAGGGCAGGGAGGCCGGATGGGCCAGTTTACAAGAAAGCCCACCCAGAGGAGGCCATTCCTCATTGAGTTAGTGGAACAACGGGAAGTGAGAAGGGAATTCAAGAGGAGATGGGCTAAGTTTCATCTTGGGAACTGTAAACAGAAAAGTTTCCCAACTAACTTCTCTCCTGCATCCCTTATGTCTTCTCAGGTCTCAGCTACATGGGGCTAAAGAAACAAGGTTGGGAGCAGGGAGCAAAAGCAGAGATAGGAGGAAAGGTGGCAGAAAGGGGCCCGCACCTAGACATGTCTCTAGAGACCCCTGGCACCCCAGGCAAAAATCCCCCAATCCCTCCTATGAGCTGTGCACTCTGAATACACCATCTCCCTGAATCCTGAGAGGTAGGCATTAGTGCCCGTCTCATAGAACAGGAGACAGAGACTCAGGGAGGTTTAGTAATTGGCCCATTGTTGCAAAGCCAGTAGAACGGCAAATCTGCCTACCTTCCAATCCCACGCTGCTATATACTAACATCACCAGTTCTCCATTCTCATTACCTGTAGCCGGGAAAAGGATGGCCTGGGAGACATCCTCCTCCTCCTCAGGCTCAGAGCCCCTGCGCGTGATGCCCCCCACAGCATGCCTTCGGGGCAGACGCCTGACTCCAGGATCCCCACCTTCACGGGTCACTGCTGGAGGCCCTAAGGCGTCCAGGAACAGGACCCTCACCTTGGCCAGGATAATTTCCCGGTCCAGCTCTGGCCCATGGCAGCCAAGCCCCCACTGTGGGGCCACCAGTAAGAGGAGCACCAGTGGCAGCTGGAGCAACATAGCTCACCTGTCCCTGCCAATGGTGAACCCACACCCTGCCCTGTGCCCCTTTGTCAGGGTCTGCCCAGGGCCTCCCCGCTCTCCCCTCCCCATCCCACCACCCACCCTGTCTCTCCTTCTCACACCAGTCTTCCCCAGACCTTCCCCCGCCCTGCAGTCTGAATTGCCCCTGCCTATGGCATTGAGACCTCCTCTCTGACGCAGATGTCTGTGGCCCTGAGCCTTATCTCCCACTCCCGCCAGGAATGTGGGGGAGGGTGCTGGGGAGGGTTTTCACCCCAAGTGACCTGACCCACACACACAACCCCTTCCCCCTACACACACACACACACCAGTCACGTACCAGACCCAGCACACAAGTGACATCAAGTGGGACAAGAGGCTGGGAACTGGGGTCTGCCAGCTCCTAAAAGTATTATTGTCAGGGAGACAACGCACCAGCCCCTCAGACCTTCTGGGGCCCCTTTCAAACAAGCAGTTGCGGGCCGGTCGTTGGAGGAAGGGCTGAGGCTGGGGCTGGAACTGGGGGTAGTGTGCGGGGCAGGTGGTCCCTCCTGCTCTAAACTTAGCCTGGAGGAGCCAGTCTGAGCTCTTGTGCTCCAGCTGTGTCATCAGAGAATATTTTTGGGATTGGCAGCTGCAGGCGCCTCTGACACTCAGGCCCAAGCCTGGCGGGTGGTTGGGGACCTGGCGGCTGGAGGTGGGAGGGAGGAGGGGAAAGAGGCCCAGGCTGTGGGAGGGGGCTGGGAAGAGAGACTCTCGGGAGCAGGAAGCCAGGCCGCTGGCTGGGGAGGCTGCAGGGTCCCTCTCTGTGAAGGCAAACAGGAAGGACTGCCCCTTGAGCTCTGGGCTCCGGCCCGGGAATCGCTGCCGCCGCACAGCTAGCTACACCCCGAGCCGAGGGTAAGGAGGCGAGTGGGAGTGGGCGGTCAGGGGAGAGCTCCACGGATCCCCACGCCGAACTCCCAGACGCCTTCCCTCCCCCATCCCCCCCGCCTCCGGAGCTCCCACCGCAGCTCCCGGCCTCGGAGCGTCCGCCGCCCGCCCTTCCCCCGAGCGGCTGCGGGTCGTCTGCGGCCCTTGCGATGAAGGCGGGTTCGGGCGATCAGGGGAGCCCCCCGTGCTTCCTGCGCTTCCCGCGGCCCGTGCGGGTGGTAAGTGGCGCCGAGGCCGAGCTCAAGTGTGTGGTCCTGGGGGAGCCGCCGCCCATCGTCGTATGGGAGAAGGGCGGGCAGCAGCTGGCGGCCTCGGAGCGCCTTAGCTTCCCGGCCGACGGTGCCGAGCACTGCCTGTTGCTGACCGGCGCGCTGCCCACCGACGCGGGGGTCTACGTGTGCCGCGCCCGCAACACGGCCGGGGAGGCCTACGCGGCGGCCGCGGTCACCGTACTGGAGCCGCCGGCCCCCGAGCCCGAGCCCCAGCCCTCCGAGCACTCGCTGCCGCCCCCCGGGACCGGGGAGGGCGTCCCGGTGTTCCTGACGGGGCCCCGGTCTCAGTGGGTGCTTCGGGGGACGGAGGTGGTGCTGACGTGCCAGGTGGGGGGCCTCCCCGAGCCCACGCTGTCCTGGGAGAAGGACGGGATGGCCCTGGACGAAGTGTGGGACAGCAGTCACTTCGCGCTCGAGCCGGGCCGCGCGGAGGGCAGCCGGGGCGCAAGCCTGGCGCTGCGCATCCTGGCGGTGCGGCTGCCCGACTCGGGCGTCTACGTGTGCCACGCCCGCAACGCGCACGGCCACGCACAGGCCGGCGCGCTGCTCCAGGTGCACCAGCCTCCCGCGAGCCCGCCCGAGGACCCCGACGAGGTCCCCAAGCCCGTGGTGGAGCCGCTCAAGTGCGCCCCTAAGACCTTCTGGGTGAACGAGGGCAAGCACGCCAAGTTTCGCTGCTACGTGATGGGCAAGCCCGAGCCGGAGATCGAGTGGCACTGGGAGGGCCGCCCGCTGCTCCCCGACCGCCGCCGCCTCATGTACCGCGACCGCGACGGCGGCTTCGTGCTCAAGGTGCTCTACTGCCAGGCCAAGGACCGCGGGCTCTACGTGTGCGCCGCGCGCAACTCGGCCGGCCAGACACTCAGCGCCGTGCAGCTGCACGTCAAAGGTATGGCGGCGCCCCCTCCCAGGCCCCCTAAATCCAGCCCCCCTCGGTTCCCCGCGCTGCTCAGAAGATGGGGGAGGGGAGGCGGGGTATTAAAGTCCTATTTCCTGCCCGCCTCTCACCCAGGGATTCGGATTTAGTGGGTCTCCAGAGTACCCAGGAACTTACTAGCAAACTCCGCAGGTAGATCTGAGGCAGATCGTGGAAAACCGCCCTTTGATTTACAAACTGAGAGGGACCTAGAATTCTAGTCCAGTGATTTTCAACCTCTGTTATTTTACGTCCCCTCCCCCAAAGGAAATCTCATCTAGGGCCCCAATATAAAAGAGAGGGAAAGGATCGTTGCTGTAAATTTCTAAGTCCAGATTTATAACGTACTTATAAAGCCAATCAGTAACGCCCTGGCCGGTTTGGCTCAGCGTTTGGAGCGCCAGCCTGCGGACCAGAGGGTCCCGGGTAGGATTCCCGCTAGGGGCACATACCAAAAAAAAAAACAAAAAGCCAATCAGTAAGAACGAGGGGGCTGTTTTATTGAATACACACATTTTAAGTGGAGTTTGCCGTCCTTACTGGGTCTGGTCTCTGAGCCCTGTGGGGAAGGCCTGGCTGCAGGCCTCACACTGAGTAACTCCTGATTCACACCAAAGGTAAACTTGCAGGAGAAAAACTGCCTTGCGATTTTTGACCATTCTTTCATTAGACTGCTCTCCCCAGGCTTGCAAGGAGAGGAAGGTGAAGTAGAAGAAATTGATATGTCAAAGTTGTGTCACCAACAATGTCTAATAAATACTCATAAGTAGAAAATGGGAGACACCCCAAACTCACACTGTAAGTTAAAGCTATCCATAATAGGAATCCATCATAACTTGCAGGATTATATCCTTACTAGTTATTGCCCAACTTTTTCCCTCGGAGGAAAAAAAGTTGGCAAATCTCCTGAGCCCGGCCTGGCACACATTCAAGCATGCGGCACCTGTGCCACAGTGGTGACCTCGCGGGTATGCCACCACACGCTGGCCAGGGGAGCCAAACTCTATCAGGACAAAAAGCCCAGAGGGACGGCAGAGCTTCCCGGAGATGCACAACGCACACATTTCTCCAGCAGCCCAGATGAGCCCACTGGGTTGTTTCCAGCATCGTGCTTTCTGTTTGCAAAATGCAGTTTTGAAAATAATTAAAGTACTTTAAAAAGGAAATTCAACTCAGACCCTTGCAGAATTTGTGTCTTTGAAGGACCCCAGGGGACAGTTTGAATATCACTGATGTGGTTCAAGCCCTTCCATCCCTTTTCCTACTTTACAGCTAAGAAAACTGAGGCCCAGGATTGCTGATATGGTCTTACTCAAGGTGATGTGGCTAATGTCAGGGTCAGACGAGAATGCAGGCCCTCTGACTTCCCTTCTGGAGGTTTTTCTGTGATTCCACAATGCCTGCTGGCACTGGGAGAAAAGCAAGTGGCATGAGCTAATGTGGGTTTAGGCAGTCGATGCCAGGAGTTCCTCCCCTGGTCTGGCCCTCTCCAGAGCCTTCTCTGGTCTCTCCTCTCCACAGAGCCTCGCCTCCGCTTCTCGAGGCCCTTGCAGGACGTGGAGGGCCGGGAGAATGGGATTGCCGTGCTAGAGTGCAAAGTACCCAACTCCCGCATTCCCACCGCCTGGTTCCGCGAGGACCAACGGCTGCTGCCCTGCCGCAAATATGAACAGATTGAGGAGGGCACCGTCAGGCGCCTCATCATCCACAGGCTGAAGGCAGATGACGACGGTGTCTACCTGTGCGAGATGCGGGGCCGGGTGCGCACTGTGGCCAATGTGACAGTCAAAGGTCGGCTGGCCAGCGGGAGGAGGCCAAGGCTGAGACAGACAGGTGCCCTGACCCCGGGCTGATGGACTCCCATCCGCATCGCAGGGCCTATCCTGAAGCGGCTGCCCCGGAAGCTCGACGTTCTGGAGGGCGAGAACGCGGTGCTGCTGGTGGAGACTCAAGAGGCTGGGGTTGAGGGGCGCTGGAGCCGTGATGGGGAGGACCTGCCAACCACCTGCCAGAGCAGTTCCGGCCACATGCATGCCCTGGTCCTCCCAGGGGTCACTAGAGAAGATGCTGGCGAGGTCACCTTTAGTCTGGGCAACTCCCGTACCACCACTCTTCTGAGAGTCAAATGTGAGGGCGTGAAAGCCCTTGGTCAGACTCCTCAAGGGCTGGACAGGAGAGCCAGGGCAGGAGGGTGACCAGATGCCAGTGTCTGGGTTGGCAAAGTGGACCTAGGAGGAAGGGCAGTGGGAGGCTGGGGCAGGGCTCCAGTACAAACCCTGCCTTTGTCTCAGGCGTCAAGCACAGTCCGCCAGGACCCCCGGTGTTGGCAGAGATGTTCAAAGGCCGCAAGAACGTGGTCCTGCTGACCTGGAAACCTCCAGAGCCAGCTCCCGAGACCCCCTTCATCTACCGGCTGGAGCGGCAGAAGGTGGACTCAGAAGACTGGGTCCAGTGCTTCAGCATAGAGAAAGCTGGGGCCGTGGAGGTGCCAGGAGACTGTGTGCCCTCCGAGGGTGACTACCGCTTCCGCATCTGCACGGTCAGCGAACACGGCCGCAGTCCTCACGTTGTGTTCCAGGGGTCTGCTCACCTCGGTGAGTCGGTCCTGCCAGATCCAGCCTGTCAGCAGCGCTACCCCAAGTCACACCCTCCCCTTCCTTCTGCAGCGGTTGGTCCCTGTCTTCTTAAATGCCTTCCACCGGCAAACCTCTGTCCTCTGTCACCCCTGTGGTTCTAACGGCTGCACTCTCTCCCTGTCTCAGTCCCCACAGCTCGCCTGGTGGCAGGTCTGAAGGACGTGCAGGTATACGACGGGGAAGATGCTGTCTTCTCCCTTATTCTCTCCACCATCATCCAGGGCACCTGGTTCCTTAATG